GTGAAGAGTACTTGAAAGATGAAAATTCTGGTTATAAAGACTTACCTTAACCCAAACAATATGGCCAGTGTTGCGATCAAGAGCCCAGGCGAAGCCACTTTTCTGGACAGCTACCACAATATCACGCAGTCTTCCATTTGAGAATATAGTTAGCAACATAGGCGCCTCTCCAAAATCTGCATCCAAGTTAGGCCCTGGTGGGCAATCTGGATTATTAGGAACTAAACAAGTGAAATAGAAAACGTCGTAGCCTCCAAGCTGTGTTGCCCAAGCAATTTCTCCAGAATCTACATCAAATGCAAGAATGGAATTAAAATGAACATCTTCACCAAAACACTGATCAGGGTTAGTTGGTGGCGTCGTTCGATTATTCTGTGCTGCTTGACATCTCAGCACCTCTGGTGGAGCTAAGTATAGATTTCCAGTTCCTACGTAGACAAATCCTCTGGCTATGTCAATAGCAGGGCTGCTTCCCCATATTGCTGCTCCTGAATAACCTCCGAGTCTTCCACCATTGTCTGGGAGTGTATATGTTTGCCATAGAATTGCACCAGTTCGAACATTTAGCTTTACTAGACTGCCTCTAAAAGTACAACATTGTGTAGCTGGTAGTAGTTCCTCCAGTGATGATACTCCCACATAATATCCACTGTTAAAAAATTGGAAACCAGTTTAGTGTCTTGTTGCTACTTAATTTATGGTCAATGACATAGACATGACAGTTTTTTCCTATTCAGTTATTCAAGTTACCTTCTTATGTGCAGTGTAATTACTTAGAAGATAAAAGATAAGGATCCAAAATAGTGCTACATTTTGGATACTATTTATATTATTGCTTATTCTTTATCTAGCTAAAATGGCTACAACTTACTAAATCTTACTGGCATAACCAGATATTAGCTGATAAGTTAGTTTAGTAGCTCAAAAAACTACCTAATTTTTCATATGCAAACAGATCAGTAAGAAGGATAAATTTATCTAAAACAGATCACTAAGAAGGCTAAATTTATCTAAATGTTGAAAAACATAAAGCTGATAAGTTATTTTAATAGCTCCATCATCATTTTTTGGGACAATCCTTGGAATTAGTTGATACTTATACTAGTGAGAAACAGATAGCTGCTCACTATGATTAAATTTATGTGCCGTAGTTCGACTGAGCATGAAATTTAAGAAAGAAATAGACTTTTGTAACTTGTGGTCTTAAATATACCATGACATATCTGTGGCTGTAAAAGCATGTCATTAAGGGCAAAATAAAAAGTTTAAAGTTAAGATCTTTCCAAATATAGAAAGGTTCATTCTTTTGGAATGGATTAATATGGAAATAGTATCACATAAGATAGAAAGGAGCGAGTAATATCTATGCTCTCTGAAAACAATTAACATAGCAAAAATGAAATAGCTAACCCCAAGGAAACTGTTCCTGATTGAGTGATAAGAGCCAGAGGCCTGGGATCTAGCAGAGTGGACCAAACAAGTGTTCCTGTTAAGCGTCTCACCGCAATAACAACAGCAGGTCCATAAATTCCCACAAGTAGAAGATCATCAGCCACCACTGGAGTTGATCTTGACACTGTCACATTCACGGTTGTCCTTGTTACAGGCAAGCCAGTGAGTCTTGTAAGATTCTGTTGCCATATGAGTTGTCCAGTTAATGCATTCACTGCATACAAATTCCCATTCCATGAAGGGAAATAAACTACTCCATTGGCCACTGCTGGGGTTGCTGTAATGTCAAATCCAGCCAAGAATTTCCACCTTAGTTTCAATCTGTTTATTGTTCTTGGACTTATCAAAACCTCCCCAACAGCTGACCTTCTGTTTCTTCTGTCTCCGCCGTGGTTCAACCACTGAATTTTCAAGCATGCACACACAGTTGAAAAGCAAATTGTCATGAAAATGACTATTAAAAAAATTACCAAAAAAGAGAGAAAAGGTAGAGATTAAATGATTTTCTACATACTTCGGCAGCTGTACTATCTATAATAAAGCAAAATGTGATGATTAGGAAAACAAGTTTTCCATGGTTGACTCCCCAATAACTTGAAGCCATAGGCTTATAAGAGGTGAATGATCAAGAAACTACGTACTAGTATAATTTAAAGGAATGCGTGAAGTATTTATAGCATATCATTCTCCTTTTACCTTGTTTAGGGGGCAGTTTTTGTCTTATTGTAGTACTAATTTAGAAAATGATGTATGCAAAAAAAGTTTGTTCTTTTTCTCTTGTTTCAAAGGAAAATCTATTAGACTAAAGTGATTGAGATGTGTGTCGCTATCAGGTAAGACAGTTACAACAATTGGCAAGTGTACTGTCATAACTTGAACCCATAATCTGAAGAGGCATACAGTTACAACAATTGGTAATGTACTGTCATAACTTGAAGAGTTTAGAACCCATTTGTGGTTCTTTTGGATAACTGTGACGGAAATGTGTGTTTAAAAAAAAGAGTGACATTTCTATGTATAACGCTCTTTTAAAAAGCGCTATACTTTAACGGTCGCGCTATACAACTATGCATAGCGCGGTATATAACCACGCTATACCTGTTTTGTGGGCCCACAATAAATCTCATGCGTTTAACTGACATAACAATAATTCAAATGGGCATAGCGCTCTTTAAAAGAGCGCTATACCTAAAAACATTCAGCCCACCGAGCTAGGCACTGCCTTATTTAAAGGCGTTAGGATTTTACAAAAATCCATTCAAAAATATTCCTAACTCTCGTTCAAATTTTTCTTGTTAAAATCTCAAGCATTTTTTCATAATGTCTGAAGAGCGAAAAGTAAGGGTTTCATTATATTGGGGGGGGNGGAGGGGGTGAGGTTGTGGTGGCGAATAATTCTGTGAGCTATAGTTTATCTCCACAATGTCATGTTAAATTGCCACTTACAATAGAGTACGATAGATTGGTATCGTTATTATGTAATAAAATGAGTATGAGAAAACGTTCGGTGAACCTTAAAGTAACCTGAAGATATCCGTATTCCGTCACTCCGCAAGAGGTTGCTTGTTACGCTGAGTTTAACATCGACGATGATGAAACTTTGAGGGATTTTTTGAGGACTCCAAATGAATACCGAAAATTTCTTGTGATAAAAATGTTGGAAATGTACGTCAAGGTCGAAGACATTCGCAATAATGAGGTTGCGCATAGTAAGGATAACCCTCAGTCATCGGGTGGTTATTCTGGAGCAGTTTTTGCCGGACAGGTTCCAGATGAAAGAGTTTGCCCTGATTTAAACTTATCACCACGGGCGAATGAGGAGTGAGGAAATAATTTCTCTCTTGCTTTACATAATCCACAAGATGAGTGGTAAACTTCAATTTTTCTTAGTGTTACGATGTATATTTTTGTTGTATTGAATTTGTATTAACACTCATATATTTCACAGGGAGTACCAGCCAGATATGACTTTTACAAGTTATGAACCCACGCCCAGTTTGAATATGCGTAGTTCTGGTGTGTTGGATCATGGTGGTCCATCCGGGAGTCATCACCAACAGGATAATGTCCATCAAGGAATGTCAACACGTTATGACTTGTAAGTGAAGTGATACAACTATATGGAAAGTATTTATTAATTTCAGTAGCTTATTATTTTGTTGTTTGTGTAGTGAAAACGAGCAAGTTGAACCATCTGTCCTCACTCAATTGCCCGAAGACGACATATTAAATCGGGATCTGGCAGATTCACAGAGTGAGGAAGAGAACAGTGATTATGACAACAATGTCGATGATTCCAGAGACGACACACCCTTCCCTCGTGAGGATGGTGATGAGGAGGAAGAGAATAAAGGACCTGATTTGACGAGGGAGTATGCTCCACCCCCCGTTAGACCAAGAGTGTACGAGTCCCAAGTGTCATTTCATTCAAGAAAGATTCCTACCTTGATAACTTGCCAAGTATGCCGGATGTGAATGCTCTCACAAGGGATTTTGATGAAATTCGGACAGCAATGTGGGATGATTCTAGACCAACGGTGCTGGCATAGGGCATGCTTTTTCCTGATAAAGTGTGCCTAAGCAGGGCGGCGAAAATGCATAACGTAAAAGAGTGTCGTGAGATGACGGTATGGGAGTCAACTCCGGAGGTGTACAAGGTTGTTTGCCGCAGATAGATTACGGGTTGTCATTGGATGCTGCGTGCGAGCAAGAAGAAAACAGGTTTGTGGCAAGTGGGTAAATACATTCCCACCCACATATGTGAAATGGACACATTCAATGGGAATCACTACAACTTGGATATTGACTTGATTTCTCTTGTCCTTATTCCACACCTTGAAGCGTGCATAAGGTATAAAATCAAAGAGTGCATTATATCAGTCCACCAGGAATATAGCCATACCATTACCAAAAGAAAGGCATTTCTCGGGTGCAAACGTGCATTTGAAATTATTTATGGTAACTGGGATAAGTCATTTGCAGCTCTACCCAAGTACATAGCCGCACTGCAACACTTTAACCCCTGAATAGTTGTTGAATGGAAGCTTGAGCGGAGTCCAGAAAAACCAGAAAATATATTCAATTACATGTTCTGGGCATTTAAACCAGCAATTGATGGTTTTTCGCATTGCCGGCCGGTAATATCCATGGACGGCACTCATGTCTATGGAAAGTATGATATCAAGTTATTGATAGCCGTTGCAGTGGATACTAATGGATAAATATTTCCTCTAGCTTTTGCTATTTGTGCCAATGAAAGCCAAGAGACGCAAACGCTATTTTTGAACCATTTGAAAGAGCAAGTTGTCAAACAGCATTCCGACATTTGTCTAATATCTGATCGGCATGGTGGTATCTTAAGTTCTGTAGAGAACTTGCCTGCATGGCAAGAACCTTATTCCTACCACCGTTACTGTGTGAGGCACTTTAAGGCCAATTTCCAGAAGGCACATCCCAACAAGGATCTGCATGATTTGATGTGGATGGCAGCAACAGACCACCAAGAGCATAAATTTCGGAGGCACATGGAATCTATCAGGCAGGAAGATGAGAGAGCCTATCATTGGTTGATGCGACATGAGTTTCACAAGTGGACTTTGCATGCTGATGGTGGAAGAAGATGGGGAATTCTGACTACAAATGTGTCAGAGTCTTTCAACGGGTTATTGAAGTCGGCAAGAGGATTGCCTGTCACTGCCATGGTGCGGATGTCGTTCAAGCAGATGGCAGAGAGGTTTGTTGAAAGGGTTGCAGCTGCAACGTCATTGATGGAAAGGGGTGTTGAATTTATATCACTGCCGATGAAGAGATTTGAGAAATGCAGGCGGCAAACATATTGGCATTCATTTTTGTAGTTTGATCACGATAGAAATGTTTTTGAAGTTTGCACCGCTATCCATCAAAACCAGGAGAATAATGTACATACCATAAATGAATCTAGAAGGTTATGCTTTTGTGGGAAATGGTCCATCTACCACATGCCGTGCTCACATGCCATCAGGTACTTTCAACATACAGGTTTAGGGTCAACCAACTACGTTGATAAACAATATAGTGTTGCTGCTTACTTAAACACCTATAGTGGGCAGTTGCAACCAGTGGGTGCTGAGCATTATTGGCCGCCAGAACCATTTAAAATGGTGTGTAACAAGGACTATTTGCGTCGAATACAGGTGCAGAAGAGAAAGCGTATACGAAACCAAATGGATGTTAGCGATACCGTTTATGCACGCAAATGTGGTATATGCTCGCAAACAGGACACGACCGTCGAAAATGTTCTTCGGCTGGTTTGGGTAGCGGTGGTAATCAAGCTCGTAGTGAGTGTTCTTCTAATGTGCCCAACTATCGAGGCACATCAGCGGGACGAAAGTGCTCCAAATCAGTCGGTCGGCCGAGCAATAATCGGGCAGGCCACCAATCAAGTCGTCGCTGTATGGCGTCCAGATGAACTATCAAATAACAACAGAAAACGTGAGTATGCGCAACACATGTGAAGCTATACCAAGTAAGTTTAGGTACACATTTACTTGTGCGCCCTCCAGCATATCCAACACATCCCTGCAAAGGGGAAGATTATGCCGAGTCTCGTAATCTCGTACATATCCACGCCGGAGAACCCACCTCCTAGCTAGAGGGAGAAACAGAGGTGGTATATCCGGAGGTAATGGTGGTAGAGGTGGCTGCAACTGCAGGAACTGCTCCCAGGCCCAAACCTAACATACAAAGTTGACGTAAAGTTTAAGATAAATTTTGACTAGATAGAATTGGAAGGAATGAGCAGAGTATTCGAATATGTTGTCACCTGTAGAAGCGACAAAAATCCACATACGTCATGTTGGGTGCCCATGCTCGCCCGGCACAGATGCCTGTACAAGTAGGCGAGAACAACAGCACCCCAGTTGTACTGGGATAAATTATCTAGCAGCTGAAGATGATGAAGAAATCGCAAGCTGACTAGGTTCCCCGAAGTTTTCGGGAACAAGACCCCCTCCCCCTCCCCCAAACAGAAGGAGCAGCAGCAACCTCGTATACCGGTGAATATGCAGATCATCTGTCTCCTCGATGATGTCGGGGTGCAATATCTCTAAATGTTGTCGAATAGCTGTCATGCTCATGTGACTAGCCCCTGAGTGTGCAGTCTCATCCTGTGGCCTGAAACCAGGGAGCTGCTACAGCATGTCCAAATGCTGCCCACGCGTCATCTCTCTCATGGCCTGAGGCAGTGCAACGGGCAGTCCATGAACAAGCATCCCATATAAAACCTCCACGTCCTGCAGCGTGATGGTAGCCTCGCCAATGGGCAGGTGGAAAGTGTGCGTCTCCGGTCGCCACCGCTCTATTGCTGCAGCCGCTCGATCTCCAAAATCCTATAGAAGCACGTATCCCGCAGGTGCTGGACTACACGGGGATGGAGATTTCTGTCCTTCATAAAATCCCACATGTCGTCTACTCTCCTGACGCGGAGAGTCTGGGCCACTAACTCTCCCTCCCAAACGTAGGCGGACTTATGATCGCCCTGTAACACTAATAGCTCATCGGAGACAGGTTCAGGATGCATAGGCGGCATGTTCATGTTGTCTACTGTAAATTAAACAACATTAATTGTATGTTTGATCTGTAAATTAAATAATTATTTTTTATAATTATACAATATTTAATTGGATAGAGTATATATCTATGGGTTCCAGGTTCGATATTTGATGCCCAGTAGCACCAAGCTATCCTGAGTTCTTGTATGTGTCAATTTTATTATTTTCGTAATTTTGTATGTTTGATCTGTAAATTAAATAATTATTT